TTAGTCCATTAAGCTACATTTAAAAAAAGCAAATTGCGGATTTTAAGAGATAATAGATTTTATTAATTTTAAAAATCTGATTTTAAGAATGATAATTCTTTTAATTCGGACATTCTGATGGAATATATTTATGAATATATTGAAAAATAACAATATTCTTTAACCATAAAAGAGTACATGATCTGATAGAATATATATATTTTGATTGAATGAACTTTAAAAATAATTAATTTTTGGATACAAGTTAAATTTATTTATCACATTCTTAAAAATTAAAAAACTTTAGGGTAAATTATACCATTCGTATCGTGCATGTGTCAAAATGCACAATCAGTGTAACGACCCAAAAACAATACTAAAATTTTTCATTTAAAACTATTAATGTTCATTAATTGATTGTACCAAAAGCCATCATTCATTACAGTAACCCAAAACATAAGAGTATAAATACATCAAGTGCGGAAATCATATGGGGAGGATGTTGTGCCATCACGTCGGACCATTCCCTTTTGAACTGGAAGTACCTGAAGCCATAAACATAATTGTAAGCATAAAACTTAGTGAGCTTCCCAAATTACCACATACAACATACATCTATATATACTTATAAATGAATCATTTTTCCTTTCACCACATTTATTTGAAACTCCAATGCATTTTTCTTCTCACCACATTCAATTGAAACTCCATTGATTTTTCAACTTCTTTATAATAATAATTATAAGTTACTTAATAAGGTTAAATTAATATCTTTACTTCTACTTATAAAGTTATGTTTTTAAAATTTTAACATATTATAATTAATTTATTAGTTTTAATATATGGTTGGATGTAAACCACTATCAATTTAAAGATACAATTTTGGAACAATTTGTATCAAATCTTAAATTATTAATTTATATATAACATTAGAAGGTCAACTTAAATATAAATTTTAGTTTAACTTAAACAACCCAAAGAATATTTTGTAAATAGTTAAAAGTTGTTAGTTGTAGTGTCTTTCTAATAATGATTATAAGTTGGTTAATAAGATTAAATAAATATCAAACCTAAAGTGTAATCATAAATAAACTAAATTTCAATTCTAAAATAGTATATTTACTTCTACTTATAAAGTTATGTCTTTTACTTTTAACATATTATACTTAATTTATTAGATTTAATATGTTGTTGCATGTAAACCATTATTAGTTTAAAGCTACAACTTTTGAACAGTTTCGACAAAATACTTAAATAATTAATTTAAATATAACATTACAGTGTCAACTTAAATATAAATTTCAGTTCTACTTAAAAAAACAAAGAATATTTTGTAAATAGTTAAAAGTGATAAATTGTAGTGATAAATGCAAAAAATAAATTGTAATCTCAATTTAACTAAAATATTCTCTAAAGATATTTTTTTAATCGTTAAAAGTTTTCAAATAAGTAGCTTAAAATAACTTATAATAACAATAGTTAAAAATAACTCTCTATAAATGATTATATTGTTCCCTATAAAATCAAAAAACAATATTGATGTTTTAAATAATTATAATGATATAATTAAAACATTAAGCAAATAAATTAAAAAAATTAATTAACAATAACAACAACTGTAAATAACATTAAACCATATATTATATTTAATTTTATTCATGTGTAACTCACGGGTAGAAGTCATTCAGTCGATTGAGATTATCCAGTTATAAGAGATGTATATATTATCATATAATTCAAAATAATCAATATATTATATCAATTTAGTATACGAATTATTATATCAAATTTAACAACAACGTTATTATTATATTTAAGAAAACAAATATTTGTAAAGACTTCAACTATATAGGTGTTTCTGCACAACGGGCGGACATGCGCCTAATCTATGTTTTTATATCTATATCTATCTATATGTATATATCTTATAAAACTAGCATTTTTCCTTGAACCTCATGCATTTGAAACTCCCAAGACCATTTTTCTTGAAACTCATGCATTTGAAACTCCCAATACTATTCAACTTATACAAATTAATTTATGATTAATTGAAATATTATGATTTGTAACTCTTAAAACTCTTCAAATCATGCTATTTAATTGATGAGTTAAATGAAATATTTAGCCTATATAAGAAATTTGTAGATCACATATTGCATGTATGTCAACACAAAATGATAGATCATATTTGTAAGGTTTGAAGAGTTATGTGAGTGGTTCCATGAATGTAAGAAAGCAATTGCAACTTTTTCAAATATAAATTCATGTAAACTCAAATTGGGTGCATGTAAAGTTCTAGATATTAACCAAGGTTCAAATTTAGGTATATTTGTAAAGGTATATTTGAGATCATTTTTTAAGTTTATGTGTTATGCATCTTTCTATAATCACAAGATGATGAAGTGAGATTGACAATTACTTCTCATGAGCTTTTGGTAAATCAACCATCAAGCTATTTATTAGTTAGAGTAATTAACTTTGTTAATATGTATGTATCTTTATGTTGTGTCTCTCTTTTTTATGTTAAGAAAATATATTTTATGTACAAGAGAACATTATTCAACATGTATTTTATGTTATGTATATATTATGTTAGTTTCTATCGCTTATTTTGTTGTAAATAACATCGATGGAGTTTTGTATAATTGATTTTGATGAAAGGAGTTTACAATTATTATTCTAAATTGTTGGTGATAATGATGAATTAGAACGAATGATTTTTAATATAATATGACTTTATTGTTGAAAACCAATAATTATGTGTGTTATAATAATGATTTCCTTATGTTCTACAAAAACTTATATGGATGTACCCACTTTTAAATGTTTTTATAGTAATAAAAATAAATTATCTTATTACATTTGTCAATTTCTTTTTTCCATATTTGTTATTTATCGTTAAGGAAAAGTAAAATAAATAGAATATTAATATTTTGATAAGAAAATATAAGTGATAAAAATATAACTCAAGTATAACACGCCTTCTACCCTAACCCACTCCAACATATTTTTTTTAAGATTGGTCGCAATACATAACAATTACTATAGTTTTGAAATTCAAATCACCATTTTATTTGGACCGTTCATTCTCTTCCAATATTTCATAACTTTAAGGAAAAAAAATGAAAGTACAATAAAAAAGTATGATAGTTTTTTTGAAAAATATAATAACGAAAAATTGCAAATATGAATAAATTATACTATATAAAAAAATTATTGTTATTTGAAATAATAATTTCAATAATCATAATAATAATAATAATAATAATATAGGAAATAAAAAATATTCAAATAAATTATTTATAAATTAGTTAAAAATGCCTATAGTTTAAAATAATTTTAAATCAAAAACTTAATTCAATTTGATTCAAATACAACTTTTTATATCTTTCTTATCGTATACTTAAATTTATTATAATATTAGTTACAACTTAGTATAAAAATTATTATTTCAATAATAAATACTTATAATATTGTTTTTATAACAAATAATTGTTAATATTTATATTACATTATTGGGAACAAATCAAGAGTTTTAAAATTCCACTACAACTCAATAGTTTTTTTTATTTAAATGTAATTATGATTTCAAATTTAATGTGATTTTCCTTTATATTTTACACTACATTCAAAAGTTTTTTAAACTTATGATTATTAATGTGCAATGCTTTTTTATTTTCCACTTATTTATTATACACATTGTAGCTATATTAGTAGTATATAAGTAAGTTTTGACTAAAAATCATATGTTTGAAAATATTTGTGATTCAAATTGAAAGAGTTGAAAAAAAATAAGTTTTGTCGCATCAATGGTTGTGACAACCGTCAAAATTCGAGTCGGTTCTAGAATTGATAAACTTAGTTGTACGTGTAGGCACGACACATACTAGACTTAGTAACTAGAAACTAAGTTATAACC